GTAGGGGTAGGGGTCGGGGTAGGGGTAGGGGTAGGGGTAGGGGTAGGGGTACTGGTAGGGTAGGGGTAGGGGTAGGGGTAGGGCTAGGGCTACGGGTAGATTGGTACTGGTAGCGGTAATCGTAGTGGTATTAGTGGTAGTGGAAGCGGTAGTGGGAGCATTAGGAGTCGGAGTCGGAATACGAGTAGTAGCGGCGGTAGTAGACGAAGAAACAAAAGTAGCAGGGTTGGCAGTAAGCGAAAAAGAAAAGAAGAAGTAGTAGTTGAGGAGGAGGAGGTGTTGGAGGTGGAGGTGGAAGTAGAGGAAGACGAGGAGGAGGAAGACACGGAGCAGGAGCAGAAGCAGCAGCGGGAGCAGCAGCAGTAGCGGGAGCAGCAGCAGGAGCAGCAGCAGGAGCAGAAGCCATCGTAGCATTAAAGTCTTCGGTGTCGTGCCAGTTGTGGTGAGTTCATTATTTTGGGATGACCTGTTCATAAGGACCATTACTGTAAAATCTTGGAGTACGTTACGCAGTAGTTTTTCAACGGATTCAATATTTGGGCTCCCACGCCCGGCTAGCCAAAGCGAAACTAGCATTTTACAGGGCTTGCGGAAAACACGAACCACTAAACGCTCTCAAGTCCCTGGCCGTCTGGTCAGAAGATGCGTTGGGTGCTTCTCCCTGCGGACAACGCCCCGATCGAAGCACTCAGACTTGGGGATTAATGTAGGGGCCTTAACAATTAGAATAGGGTGTTAGGGCATATCATGCTATAATTATAATACGGAACCCCCACAATAGTGGAGGTAATTATTTAGGCCCCTAAATTAAAAGGTTTTCGGCTGGGTTTGCGGACTGGCAATGGGGTTTAGTAATCTTGACCTGGTAAGGCAGTTGTCGGTTTAGGGGTTTAGGGTTCAGGGTTTGGAGGGGGGAAAGCTTCGAATATGGAAGACCCAATCATGAGGATTTCTGCGCACTCGCACCCGCCCGACATCCAGCAAAGTCGCCCCAGCTTACCAAACGGATACCAGCAACAGAACTTGCTGTACATATCTAACATCTGTGCTGGGATGCCCATTCTTCCTAAACCCTAAACCCTAAACCAAAAACCCTAAACCCTAAACCCTAAACCTAAACGCTGAAGCTTGGACACTAAGCTCCCTCTTGAATCCTGCACTCCGACAATAGGAGTAAACTTTACCATGTGAAAGCTGCAACGGCAGCCGAGACCCTAGACGCAATCTCCTGGAAGCAGTCCAAATTGTCGACAATCTTGGCCTGTATGGTTTAACTGGGGCCCAAAAGACCTACCTGTTTGAGGAACTATATATAGAAACCATAATAATAATAAGGATCCTTGAACCGACAATCTTGGGCTGTACTCATGAGGTTTAAACTTACAGCGCAAAGCTACGTGTCTAGGACTTGAGGACAACCCCGAACCCTGAAGCCTGGCTATATGGGAGTTTCCAAAAATTAGGGGACCTTATTTTGGGGTCCTTATAATAGGGATCCTATTAATTAGGGTACTATATTAGGGTCCCCTATTTTTGGAAACCCCCATATAGAATGTTGACTTAAGAACTTGAATACCGCCCTTCGGAGGGGGTACATTGTTGGTATAGTTGCAAAAGGGTCGAATGTAGGGGCCGCATAGCTGGAACAGGAATTGTTGCCCCTTGATCGTATATGGGCGTGTGGCTTTTAGTCTTCAGGGTAGTAAGCCCCCCCTAAACCCCTAAACCCTAAACCCTAAACCCCTAAACCCTAAACCCTAAACCCTAAACCCTAAACCCACGCAACCTCGCCTCATCGTCCTGCAAGGGAGGGAGGCCGTACTGCTTTCGGTATGAGGCTAGGGGGCTTAAGGGCTTTAAGGGTTTAGAGGTTTAGGGGTTTAAGCGTTTGGCGTTTAAGCAACCCTACTCATGGACATGTTTGGGCAGATCTTGCTTGCAAAGATGGAGCGAAAGGCTCTCGCGGCTCGATTCCGACCTAGGTGTGTTTCAAAAGGGTTTACGGTGTCCGTGTTCCTCGGCCCTTTCGCCATTGTTAACAAGGCATCTAATCATCGCGAGAAACAATACGGTTAAACATTGCCGAAACGCAAGCCTACTGGATGTACTTCTGAGACAATTACATGCAGCTGCTTGTCTTGCAGTGCTACAAACCTTGCGCGATCCTGTGGTCTGGAGTTCACAATAGATGCCTTGTTCGTGCTCAATGCTACATTACCACCGATACAATATTCACCTCGTGTCATCGATGTGGAACATTTGGACCTGCATCTTCAAAGAACGAAGTTGTTGACTACTTTCAAACTGAAACTGCACCTCAACCATCATCAAGGTGTAAGGTGACAAAGTTCTTCACATGCAAAGATATTTCACCAGTTCGTTTCAATTGCCATATACGGTTACATGTGTGTGTAACGTTCGTTGGCACGCATGTTGGACAGCTGTTTTGGTGTGTGGGGTTCTGCTTTCTATCACAGGCAGAACATGTTAAAAGGCTTTCTGAGATCTCCGGGAACAACGTAGATATGCTTAGCTGCGTGAATTTATGGTGGAATATCACATATGAAGAACCTATATTTCTGCGCACGTTGGAGGGAGGGAGGCATTCAGGTAGGGAGGTGGGTATGCATGCATGTACATATGTGTGTAGTCGTGTATGTATGTGTGTGTGTGTATGTGTACGTATGTGCATGTATGCGTATGTGTGTGTATGTATGTGTGTG